TTCTTCATGTCTCTTCTACATCAACATGTGTCCCCTCTTCTCATGTCTCTTCTACATCAACATGTGTCCCCTCTTCTCATGTCTCTTCTACATCAACATGTGTCCCCTCTTCTTCATGTCTTCTCTACATCAACATGTGTCCCCTCTTCTCATGTCTCTTCTACATCAACATGTGTCCCCTCTTCTTCATGTCTCTCTACATCAACATGTGTCCCCTCTTCTCATGTCTCTTACATCAAATGTGTCCCCTCTTCTTCATGTCTCTTCTACATCAACATGTGTCCCCTCTTCTTCATGTCTCTTCTACATCAATATGTGTCCCTCTTCTCTGTCTCTTCTACATCAACATGTGTCCCTCTCTTCATGTCTCTTCTACATCAACTGTGTCCCCTCTTCCATGTCTCTTCTACATCAACATGTGTCCCCTCTTCTTCATGTCTTCTCTACATCAACAGTGTCCCCTCTTCTTCATGTCTTCTCTACATCAACATGTGTCCCCTCTTCTTCATGTCTCTCTACATCAACATGTGTCCCCTCTTCTTCATGTCTCTTCTCATCAAATGTGTCCCCTCTTCTTCATGTCTCTTCTTCTTACATGTCTCTTCTACATCAATATGTGTCCCCCTCTTCTTCATGTCTCTTCTACATCAACATGTGTCCCCTCTTCTTCATGTCTTCTTTACATCAACATGTGTCCCCTCTTCTTCATGTCTTCTCTACATAACATGTGTCCCCTCTTCTTCATGTCTTCTCTACATCAACATGTGTCCCCTCTTCTTCATCTCTCTTCTACATCAACATGTGTCCCCTCTTCTTCATGTCTTCTCTACATCAACATGTGTCCCCTCTTCTCATGTCTTCTCTAATCAACATGTGTCCCCTCTTCTTCATGTCTTCTACATCAACATGTGTCCCCTCTTCTTCATGTCTCTCTTACATCAACATGTGTCCCCCTTCTTCATGTCTTCTCTAACATCAACATGTGTCCCCCTCTTCTTCATGTCTCTTCTACATCAACATGGTCCCCCTCTTCTTCATGTCTCTTTCTACATCAACATGTGTCCCCTCTTCTTCATGTCTCTTCTACATTCAATATGTGTCCCACTTCTCTTCATGTCTCTTCTACATCAACATGTGTCCCCTCTTCTTCATGTCTCTTCTACATCAACATGTGTCCCCTCTTCTTCATGTCTTCTCTACATCAACATGTGTCCCCTCTTCTTCATGTCTTCTCTACATCAACATGTGTCCCCTCTTCTTCATGTCTTCTCTACATCAACATGTGTCCCTCTCTTCATGTCTTCTCTACATCAACATGTGTCCCCTCTTCTTCATGTCTTCTCTACATCAACATGTGTCCCCTCTTCTTCATGTCTTCTCTACATCAACATGTGTCCCCTCTTCTTCATGTCTTCTCTACATCAACATGTGTCCCCTCTTCTTCATGTCTTCTCTACATCAACATGTGTCCCCTCTTCTTCATGTCTTCTCTACATCAACATGTGTCCCCTCTTCTTCATGTCTCTTCTACATCAACATGTGTCCCCTCTTCTTCATGTCTCTTCTACATCAACATGTGTCCCCTCTTCTTCATGTCTCTTCTACATCAACATGTGTCCCCTCTTCTTCATGTCTTCTCTACATCAACATCAACATGTGTCCCCTCTTCTTCATGTCTTCTCTACATCAACACGTGTCCCCTCTTCTTCATGTCTCTTGTACATCAACACGTGTCCCCTCTTCTTCATGTCTTCTCTACATCAACATGTGTCCCCTCTTCTTCATGTCTTCTCTACATCAACATGTGTCCCCTCTTCTTCATGTCTCTTCTACATCAACATGCGTTCCCTCTTCTTCATGTCTTCTCTACATCAACATGTGTCCCCTCTTCTTCATGTCTTCTCTACACACACATGTGTCCCCTCTTCTTCATGTCTTCTCTACATCAACATGTGTCCCCTCTTCTTCATGTCTCTTCTACATCAACATGTCCCCTCTTCTTCATGTCTCTTCTACATCAACATGTGTCCCCTCTTCTTCATGTCTTTTCTACATCAACATGTGTCCCCTCTTCTTCATGTCTCTTCTACATCAACATGTGTCCCCTCTTCTTCATGTCTTCTCTACATCAACATGTGTCCCCTCTTCTTCATGTCTCTTCTACATCAACATGTGTCCCCTCTTCTTCATGTCTCTTCTACATCAACATGTGTCCCCTCTTCTTCATGTCTTCTCTACATCAACATGTGTCCCCTCTTCTTCATGTCTCTTCTACATCAACATGTGTCCCCTCTTCTTCATGTCTCTTCTACATCAACATGTGTCCCCTCTCTTCATGTCTTCTCTACATCAACATGTGTCCCCTCTTCTTCATGTCTTCTCTACATCAACATGTGTCCCCTCTTCTTCATGTCTCTTCTACATCAACATGTGTCCCCTCTTCTTCATGTCTCTTCTACATCAACATGTGTCCCCTCTTCTTCATGTCTTCTCTACATCAACATGTGTCCCCTCTTCTTCATGTCTTCTCTACTTCAACATGTGTCCCCTCTTCTTCATGTCTTCTCTACTTCAACATGTGTCCCCTCTTCTTCATGTCTTCTCTACATCAACATGTGTCCCCTCTTCTTCATGTCTCTTCTACATCAACATGTGTCACCCTCTTCATCATGTCTCTTCTACATCAAATGTGTCCCCTCTTCTTATGTGGTCTTTCCCCTACTTGTCGTCTTCATGTCTCTTCTACATCAATATGTGTCCCCTCTTCTTCATGTCTCTTCTACATCAACATGTGTCCCCTCTTCTTCATGTCTCTTCTACATCAACATGTGTCCCCTCTTCTTCATGTCTTCTCTACATCAACATGTGTCCCCCTCTTCTTCATGTCTCTTCTACAATCAACATGTGTCCCTCTTCTTCATGTCTTCTCTACATCAACATGTGTCCCCTCTTCTCATGTCTTCTCTACATCAACATGTGTCCCCTCTTCTTCATGTCTTCTCTACATCAACATGTGTCCCTCTTTCTTACTGGTCTCTCTACATCAACATGTGTCCCCTCTTCTTCATGTCTCTTCTACATCAACATGTGTCCCCTCTTCTTCATGTCTCTTCTACATCAACATGTGTCCCCTCTTCTTCATGTCTCCTCTACATCAACATGTGTCCTCTACATCAACATGTGTCCCCTCTTCTTCATGTCTCCTCTACATCAACATGTGTCCTCTACATCAACATGTGTCCCCTCTTCTTCATGTCTCTTCTACATCAACATGTGTCCCCTCTTCTTCATGTCTTCTCTACATCAACATGTGTCCCCTCTGTGGAAAGAGACTCTGAAACTGAGGTGAAGGTCCTGAAAGATACCACGGTTTTGCACTTTGAGGCTTATTAACGCAGTGTTGTAACAGGAGGAGTGAGCCTGGGGGTAAACTGCTACACTTGATGCAACCAAATCCCACAATGTCTCTAACAATTCAAATGTAAAGGCAATTTTATAGCCATTTAAAGGTCAACTATTATGCAAAACCCACTTTTTCATGTATTTTATAAACATGTGTCCCCTCTGTATAAAGAGACTCTGAAAGTTTCAGGAACAAAGATTCTCTCTCTTTTTGATCCATTTCTATAAAAACCTGTCTGAAAATGAGCTGATCAGATTTTAGCCACTGTATGATGTCATAACGATGTTTTGTCTTGTGTAACCATTAGCCAATCAGGGGGGGGGGGGGGGGGGGGGGGGGGGGTGATTGGCTTTGTTTACATACATTTGAGGACATTAGACTTCACAAATTCAAACAAGACTTGCGACTTGACCTGGACTCTTACAGCGATGACTTTGTGCCACATAACAACTTATTTCCATAGATTTGTGTTTTTGTTAAAGCTATAAATTCACCAAGAATCTACACTTTTACCCCAGAAAAAAGCACAGGGTTGAAAATGGGCACAAGGAGTTGCATTATGACTTTCATAGCTTGGGATGTGCAAACACTTGACTTATGTGTGACTTGCAAAACAACGACATGGTTTCATCTCTGTAAAAGTTCAAATAAAAATACATTAAATAACTGTAGTTAGTTAATAAGCTTTCCAAATAACAGCATGTGTTGGTATGACTGAATTTAGTTTGAAAAATGACTTATTCCCTTACCACTTCAGGCCTGATCTCACAAAGCTACTATTGCTCCTCCGTTTAAAATGTGGGCCAAGTTGTGATTTCAATGCTGTGGTCTATTGTGCCACTGAAGCCTAGATTTCTCTTCATTCAGATCCCGAGGTTTGGCCGTCTATCTTCTCTCGGATAATAATATATGCTAAATCTGTCTGGAGGTCAACAGGATTACTCCAAGACGCTCAGTTTGGTCCTCGAAACATGGGATAACATGTTTGATATTGCCATACTTCCAGAAAACAGCACACCTTGTGTTTTTAGTGGAGTAACATTTCAGAAACACAGCTTTTTAAGATAGTTCTCAGGATAGAAGAGCAATTGTTGGTGAAATGAGATGGAAAGGAAATGACTTGATTGAAACTAAGCTCTATTTTTTGACACATATTCTATCACGAAGGAGACAAATGACACAGGAAGCTATTGCTAACATTACTAGGATATTGGGTTTGTGTGAATGAATGAAATGGGTTACAGGTAGGTTAGTGATTAGCACTACTTCACTAGGTAAGGCTTGTAACAGCTCAACTTTACCTGGACATGAACCATAGCTATCCAGAGCACGGCTGGAGACACAAACACACAATAGATTGAGGACAGTTTGAAATTAAGCTACAAAATTATTTCTCATTTAATAGTCAGGAGAATGTTTTCTGCAGTACACCAGAATCAGCACTAAGTGGCGCTGTAACGCTAAGCAGTAAGAGAGGGACCTAAAGTACACTGAAGGATTCAACTAGACAGAGTTGGGGATATTACTCTAAGCAGCATAAAGAATTCACTAGGATTGATTTCACTTAATAACACAACTACCGAGACAAATATCTTACTTTGAAAAAGCTTCATCCAAACCGTCTTCTAGTTCCTGGAAAGAAAAAGGAGAGAAACGTGGATTAATATTCACCCAGTGAACGGTAAATAAACATGTGTGTAAAAATAAGCAAATATAAGTTAGACATTTCATGCTATTTTCAGCTGCGTATGAAGATATCAAGAGACATCAAGACATCCATTTGAAACACTTGGCCTGAGTTGAATGGGATCCAAATCTCAAAACAGAACATTTTCTACAGAAAAATCAAACATTATTTTTCAAATATATGATTTGAGATGGAGATATTTTCCTGGATCAAAAGACACAAATCAATTTCAGTCAAATCAAATGTTATTTACACCGCCCAATATCACAAATTGTACATCTGGGCTTTACAGCTTGTACAGAATACGACCCCCTGTGTCCTGAGACCCTCGCATCGGACCAGAACAACTCCCTCCCTTGTGTGTGTGAATCAAAGATAATAAACCACATAAACCGTCCATGTGTTTATATGTCAAATGAAAATGGTGGAAGTCACATGGGACCCTAATCTCAAACAGATGCCTCAGTTCTCCATACTGTAGGTGTGATGGAAACTTCTGAAGCAACGAGACGAGACTCAGAGACACGAGGAGAGCAGGAGCTTTGATGGCAAACACTGACGGTTTATTTGGAGCTTCGGCCGGAGAATTCATAAGACATGTTGCCAAACCAATTCTGCAGACCTCGACCCCAGACCCATGTGTTTAGATGGTTCTGAGAGAATAACAAGATGAAACAGGCAAAGCACCGTAACACCCATCGTGGCTTCCATCAAGCCACTAGACGCCTTAAACAGACATGTTTAACTCGTTTAAGAGTTGCTTAGCCTCCGATGGTTTGGATGATATTATGCGAATAAAATAACAAACCTTTACACATGCAACAAAGAAAAGAGGCCTTTACAATGGTCACAACAAAAAGGCACAACTCAAAAAGAATAACAACTTAGGTATTCTTTCTTCTTGATAAGGCTTATATACCTCGATCACTTAAAGGGTAATTGGACGGTTAAAAACTGTTCCTCGACGGCGTCTTTCTAGCAGGTTGCTTCCCATCTCCGTCTCTTTAGAGGAGGGGCCGTGGGAATTGTAGTCTTTTATAGTGTGTTGACTACAGACGTCACAATTAGGCGGCCTTTCTTATCAAACTAAATACTGGCTCTAACAACACGTCTATCAGCTGACGCCATCAGGAGGAAGAGGGAGACAAAACACTGAGCACAGAGCCAAGGTTGGAGCTGCTCATTGTTCAAACTGATGACCTGGGTCAAAGGTCAGGGCCTATAGGACAATATATCCCCAACAATAGGTGCAACACGGAGGGTCTTACCAAGTTGGGGTTGTTGTTGGTCTCAGAGGGCCGGTGGTTATCCAGCTGACCCTCCTCTATATTCCCATTGGTCTCCACCGTCACATGCACACTGTCCTCAAAGTCCAACAGGTTGTCTGTGGCCACATCTACGTGAGAGGGGAAGGAAGGGCAGCCCATGAGTTGGAGTAAAGTGTTTCTGTCACTGGTGTTTGGTGGCTTCAAGAAGAGTTTAAGAAGATACAATAAGTGTCTAAATCCCTGCTAAATGTTAATATGTATGTTTATCATCACACCGGAGAAAGCGGGAACATTGGTGTGTGCAGATGGGTGTTGTGTTTCAATCACAGCTGATTGGATGTTGAGCTGATAAATACCCGTGACTCCAACAAAGACACTGATCCTGGGAACTAATGTCCATAATAACCTCTCCATGTATGCACATAAGCCAGATGTTGGTGGGTCTTTGTCCAGTGGGGAAGGGGCTAAACAGCTCACAAACATATCAAACACTTTTCTGTTGTACCTGTCCCCTTCAGGCTCCCCAAGCTGTTGGATCTTTCTGAGTGGGAGCTGCTGCTGGCCTCTCCGGCTGAACCAGACTTCGCCCGTTTCCCTTTCTCTAGATCAGAAAACAGATGCACAGAAATTACAGAAACGTGCCGATTGCAGCCGAGAAGCAGATATCTGTGCCCTCGAATCATCAAGGCCGACTCGGTACAAACATAACAGATGCTGATAAGACGACTCCTACACGTGTGTGTGTGTGTGTGTGTGTGTGTGTGTGTGTGTGTGTGTGTGTGTGTGTGTGTGTGTGTGTGTGTGTGGCTCCTACCTTCTTTGGCCACCTGCCAGAGTTCAAACGCTATAGTGAAGGCCTGAGCTACCGTCAGAGCCACAGCCTGAGCCTGGGGAACACAACACACACACTTTGTTACACACCAAGGCTTATAGGTGTTTACCAAGCCCTGTGAACCTCCGTTTGATATGGACTGACAGAACAATGATGGGGTGTTCTGTTTGAATTAACAAAACATGGGCTTTGAGCTAAGTGGCAGGGGGATCAGAGTGGCAGGGGGATCAGAGTGGCAGGGGGGTCAGAGTGGCAGGGGGGATCAGAGTGGCAGGGGGGGTCAGAGTGGCAGGGGGATCAGAGTGGCAGGGGGATCAGAGTGGCAGGGGGGTCAGAGTGGCAGGGGGGATCAGAGTGGCAGGGGGGGTCAGAGTGGCAGGGGGGGTCAGAGTGGCAGGGGGGTCAGAGTGGCAGGGGGGTCAGAGTGACAGGGGGATCAGAGTGGCAGGGGGATCAGAGTGGCAGGGGGGATCAGAGTGGCAGGGGGGATCAGAGTGACAGGGGGATCAGAGTGACAGGGGGATCAGAGTGACAGGGGGATCAGAGTGACAGGGGGGATCAGAGTGACAGGGGGATCAGAGTGACAGGGGGATCAGAGTGACAGGGGGATCAGAGTGGCAGGGGGGTCAGAGTGGCAGGGGGGTCAGAGTGGCAGGGGGGTCAGAGTGGCAGGGGGGTCAGAGTGGCAGGGGGGTCAGAGTGGCAGGGGGGTCAGAGTGGCAGGGGGGTCAGAGTGGCAGGGGGGTCAGAGTGGCAGGGGGGTCAGAGTGGCAGGGGGGTCAGAGTGGCAGGGGGGTCAGAGTGGCAGGGGGGTCAGAGTGGCAGGGGGGTCAGAGTGGCAGGGGGGGTCAGAGTGGCAGGGGGGGTCAGAGTGGCAGGGGGGGGTCAGAGTGGCAGGGGGGGTCAGAGTGGCAGGGGGGGGTCAGAGTGGCAGGGGGGGTCAGAGTGGCAGGGGGCAGGGCAGGGGGCAGAGTGGCAGGGGGGTCAGAGTGGCAGGGGGGTCAGAGTGGCAGGGGGGTCAGAGTGGCAGGGGGGGTCAGAGTGGCAGGGGGGTCAGAGTGGCAGGGGGGGTCAGAGTGGCAGGTCGGTAAAAGAAAATGGCGCATTAAAATGGGCATAACCTCAAATCCAAATACCTAATTAGACCATTAGACATGTAAGGCCTTCCATACACCAGAGAGAGAGAACGTGAAACTATGAAACACATTGTTTGGGTTAATTACAACGAGTAGGGGAGGTGTATATTTTTCTTTTCAGCTCACGTTTTACTCAGCTTGCTTTTTTTGGACAATGCACATGTGTTTTTATACACATACACACATTGCATGGTGTGTTTTCTTGTTGTGCAAATTGACTTTTTTAATTCAAAAGTTCTCATTTGTTAGTTCTCCTTTTTTATTGTTGTTCTTTTTCACAAATTGTGCTTAAAAAAGAGAAAGGAACAAAATCTCTCTTCAAAAAAGGGTGGGGGGACTTCAAGCGTAAATGACACCTTTGCTGACCGCCATCGACCGTAGGTAATGCTATATTAAACAGATGGAGAATGTACTTCAATCTGAGAACACTTTATTTACTATACATTAAAGCACGCTCAACAATCATCTACAAGTCATCAGTGCTGGGACTCATTGAGCAGAGGACAGAGGAAGAGGAGATTCAGTATGGACCATGAGGAAGAGGAGATTCAGTATGGACCATGAGGAAGAGGAGATTCAGTATGGACCATGAGGAAGAGGAGATTCAGTGACAGAGAGGCACTGAAGAACAGAGGGATACATTTTGCTTCTGTCCACTCTCAGTTAGGAACATGCCGGGTGTTATAGGTCTTTTTAACGGACCGCAAAGTAAACTTAGATTAGATACAGGGTTCATACACCTTTTCACCCATGACTTTTCCATGACTTCTCCATGACTTCTCCAGGACCTTTACCTCATTTTCCATGACCAAAAACATTACTCTTTCTCAGCGGTTCCACTGAAAATGGTTTATTTCAACATGGAACAGGAGAATAAGGTCTGCATATGAAACATGTTGTGCCTATCTAAAACATATCCAATAGGCTTACTAGCTTCTACACGCTAAAGCAACTCAAATCTCTCACCAGCAAAATACCTCGACAGTTAAATGCCATTTTACGTTTCATTACGATACAGTATTTATTATCATTATAGTGTTACTAGTTCGGCGATTAGATCAAATATAAATTATATTTGATGCAACTTTAGTTACATTTCCATGACTTTTCCAAAACTTTGGGAAAAATATTGTTTTCCAAAACTTTTCCAGGGCCTGGAATTAGCATTTTGAATTTCCATGACTTTTCCAGGTTTTTAATGACCGTAAGAACCCTGTAGATAACACACCCAACCATGAAGAGAGGTTTAAATCCCCTTAAAACTACAGAAAACAACTCGTAAAGATAGAAGTTCAAATGAAAGTAATGCAGATCAAATGACTGATGTTGACTTTGATTTATACTCGTCATATATTAAACATAAAAAGTGATTCTGTATCAAACGACTCACCACTTTCCTCTTGGAGCAGAGGTAGGCGTGGCACTCCAGGGTCCCGTTGAGGGTGTTTTGAGCAATGTAAGCAAACACTTTATGGTTCAGTTTGTCCACTGTGCAGTAGGATATTCTGTGAGGTTAGAGGAACAGCAAACATTAGGACAGAGAGTTCACAACACGTGCAACACGTCGACTCCATGACTAGGTATTTCAAAGGTTGTGAACGTGTATTAAGCTTAAGAAGTGCAACACTGCTGGGGCTCGTTTACTCAACTGTTAGGGAATGTGTCAAACATGCTAAGAAGTAACAATGGGAATCCATGAGAGCGATCTGGTTGAAAGCAGGGTCCATGCAGGAGTCCTGAAGTCACATGGAAGACCTTTAAGACCCTTTTTAAGACCCTTTCCATACATTTTAAGACCTCATCTCCACTTGGAGTTTTAACCTGTTGGCGACACACTTTCCCTTACATTGACTATATACAGTATTGATTGTCCTTCCTCCTTATCTTCCAACCATTTGGACGCAGACTTGCATTTCCCCGTAACCATGTTGTTTAACAACCGGCGTAAACGGACCTTCGCGCTATCAAGCAGTGAGCGTGCGATGTCCTGTTCAGATGACGTCAAACCCAACGGGATGCCATCAATAAACTACACAGAATCTCACTACACACCTACGCAATGATTACATTCAGGCAGACTGTAGAATACCTCTTTGGACCATTCATATACTTATTGAAAACAAGCTACCAAATGTAATAACTTGGAAAATGCCCTTTAATACTTTTTGATAGCCTTAATTTTCGCTAAATTGATTTATCAACTTTTAATACTTTTTAAGACCCCGCGGACCCCCTGGAAAGGAAAGTACTTCTTAAACTGCTGTGACTATGTACAAAAAAAAATTCAAATGATGTCCTGTCTTGTCTTTGCCTCTGTTTTTCACATTTGTTATCTAAGTTTGTGTACATGTAGGTATGTTGTGTCTTGTAACTATGTTGTTTAAAAGAATGAAAATTAATCAACATATTGTTTAAAAATAAAGAAAAGTGCCACACTGTTAATTGGACATTAATTGAAAAAGCACCTGTTGTTTTTAACATACCTGTATATGGAGACGTTTTCCAGCTGTTTGTTGGACAGGCTGTCGAACAGGAGGATTCCCTGAGGGGAGATCTTCAGAGCGACCTTCTGAGGCTTCTTCCCCATCGCTTTAGCCTAAAAGATACAAGGGGACACGTTTGTTTAATAGCAGGCAGTGTGTTCAGTACAAACTGTGCTTTAAAAATAATCTGATCCACACAAATGTGCGGACTGATGACGAGTTAAAGGGGCCCTATTCTGCTCATTTTCATATTTTAGTTAAGTGTCTCTCCTGGGACGTGTCTCCATGTAGTGTCTCTACATGTCTCCATGTAGAGACACTACATGGAGACATGTAGTGTCTCTACATGGAGACATGTAGTGTCTCTACATGTCTCCATGTAGAGACACTACATGGAGACATGTAGTGTCTCTACATGGAGACATGTAGTGTCTCTACATGTCTCCATGTAGTGTCTCTACATGGAGACATGTAGTGTCTCTACATGGAGACATGTAGTGTCTCTACATGGAGACATGTAGAGACACTATATGTCTCCATGTAGAGACACTACATGTCTCCATGTAGTGTCTCTACATGGAGACATGTAGAGTCTCTACATGTCTCCATGTAGAGACTCTACATGTCTCCATGTAGTGTCTCTACATGTCTCCATGTAGAGACACTACATGGAGACATGTAGTGTCTCTACATGTCTCCATGTAGTGTCTCTACATGGAGACATGTAGTGTCTCTACATGGAGACATGTAGAGACACTACATGTCTCCATGTAGTGTCTCTACATGGAGACATGTAGTGTCCTCTACATGTCTCCATGTAGTGTCTCTACATGGAGACATGTAGTGTCTCTACATGGAGACATGTAGAGACACTACATGTCTCCATGTAGTGTCTCTACATGGAGACATGTAGTGTCTCTACATGTCTCCATGTAGTGTCTCTACATGGAGACATGTAGTGTCTCTACATGGAGACATGTAGAGACACTACATGTCTCCATGTAGTGTCTCTACATGTCTCCATGTAGTGTCTCTACATGGAGACATGTAGAGACACTACATGGAGACATGTAGTGTCTCCATGTAGTGTCTCTACTGTGACATGTCTCCATGTAGAGACACTACATGGAGACACTACATGGAGACATGTAGTGTCTCCATGTAGTGTCTCTACTGTGACATGTCTCCATACTTTAATGTTCAAAAAGCTCTTTATTGTTCTCATACTGCCTGTGCTGCAGCACCTCTTTTCACCCTCCGTCTGAAACCAGAGCCCAGTCTGCTCTGATTGGTTAGCTGGCCGGCTCCGTTGTGATTGGTCAACCAGCTTAGAGATGTCCTGCCGCTTAGCCTATCACGTACAATGTGTTGGTCGTAGCTAATAAAAGCACAATTGTTACGTAGTGATGTCACTATGTCGCGGAAGTGAACAAAGGACCACAATCGAAGAGAGGGAACTTTGGGATTTAAGCCTTTTCAGACCATTTCCATGCAGAAAGACCTACATTACGCACTACAGGAAAGCATAATAGGGCCTGGAGCGTGCCTTGTATCCACTTCTTGTGAACAAGTGTACATATATGCAAAACAAATAACTTCACAGGAGGATAATTGGAATATGCTTATTTTAGGACGATTTAGAACACGTCCAGTCCGTCTGATTGCACTGAAATGCATTTATTCAACACCATTCGATAGAAAACCTCTTGGACCATACAGCGTCTAGGGAAGTGAGTACTAGAAACAATCTATACGTATTACTGTTCCTTCAAGTACTAAGCAATGTCTTTTTTTAAACCTTATTTAAATGGCATCCGATGGGAGAATGAACTCTGATCTCACATTACAGCAGCAGATGGAAACTTGCATTCATTTGCCTCATTTTCGGGAACTTTAGGTAGTTTTTTGCCAAATAATGTACTACTTTTTCAACCAAAAATATGCTCCTTTGGAAGTTTGTCAATTCTACAATTTGAGTGGATAACTTTTAAATTGTGATCGACATGATTACATGACATTTTATTTCCCATTTCATTAATACAACACATTTCAGAAAAGTGTTGTTTTCACAGTGACAGTGTTCCAACAAAGTAATAAAGAAAGCAGTAGTCCTGGTGACTGTTTGACATCCTGAACAGTTATTGTTCCTCACGGTGCGTCCACACGGCAGCGTGCGTTGAAGCTTGCCGTTGGGCGTGTCTGGAGCGCGACCAACAACCAATCACATGAATCTCCCGCCCCAGACACACAAGCACACGGTTTGATTGGCTAGCGCTTGTACTGGCATGTGATTTGATTGGCTGACGCTTGAAAAGTGTCAAAAGTTGAACTTTTCTCAACTTTTGAAGCGAGCAACGGAGGCAAAGCGAGCAACGGAGGCAAAGCGAGCAACGGAGGCAAGCGAAGCGCCGGAACCACAATGCAGTTGGGCAAAGCGTGACGTCACCCCATTCAAAGTGAATGGGAAGCTGCGTTGAAGCTTCAAAGCACGCCGCCGTGTGGACGGGCCGTCAGACTCTCACCGTGGCCACGATCCTCTTCACTGCGGCCACCGACAGCTCCTCTCCTTTAGGCTGGTCCACTAGTGTCATGCCGAGGTGACGGAGGTTAAAGGTCATGCCCTCAACAATGGTCTCCCTTGTGTCGGTCCAGTTTTCTGGAAGCTCTGCAGAAAAGAAACATTTTTTAAAAAGGGAAAAGTGGGTCAATAAATAGATCAACAGGAAAACGTTTGATAATCAGATTTTTGTGTCGTTGAAAACATCAAATATGTGTTAAGACTTTCACAGAGACATTCCACTTCATGTTCCAACAGAACATTCAAAGAGCTCGAGGAAAAACACAAATCAGACGAAATGTAAACAGCCGATGTTGAACTAAAAGTTGAGACATTTCATCTGCTCTTTCCCCGAAGTGGAGAGCAGGGTATCTAGGTCAGAGGGTCTCTGTGAAGTCAATATTAGAACTCCAAAGCAACTTATGGGGCTTGACAATCAAAAGGGAAGGAGTTAGGAGAGAGTTTACATCGGCTCTGACGTACATGTGATCAGAGGAACGTGTGTTTTTCCTTTCAGAAAGTAACATAACATCAGAACGAGGCCATATGTCGCTCTTTAAAGTACATGAGGCTCTCAACTCCTGCCTTCAAACACTTAAAGTTAGCACACGGTCATGTTCACTTCAAATAGAGGAGTGTAAATACGAGCAATACAATGACTAACAAAGCACTTATATACTAATAAAGGACTGGCTTATCTAAAGCTAGTTGAGTAGCACTATGAAACCTGATTTACTTATATGATTCTGTTTTCTTCAAGTTTGTATCTTCTTGGTCGAATGCACTTATTGTAAGTCGCTTTGGATAAAAGCCTCAGCTAAATGTAATGTAATGCAATGTAAAGTAAAGACTGTAGCTGGTGGAGGAACAGCTGCTATCTCCATGTGATTTCTTATCAGCCGGCCGGCCCTGACCCTCTGGCTGCGTTTACAGAGATTTCCTCAGAGAAAGAAGGGAGGGGAGTGGGGTTAGGGAAGGCAAGGAAAACATCCCCATTACCTAGAAATCCATCCTCCTAGCATTCAGCACCTCTGGGATGTCGTGCATACCACACACTCATGCAGACACACGCTCACACAGCCTATAAAAGGAAGGCGCAATGCAGCTGAAAGTCTTTTAAAGGGATATTAGAAATATTGGAATCACTTTCATTCTTAAAACTCTCCACACAACAAAACATGCAACACTGTAAAATAACCCTCCATTTAAATAGTCACATTTTTGCAGGCAACTCATTGAAATTCATAACGCTGCATAAACGCATACATACATATGTCCTTCTGTTCTGTAAAAGCCTTGAGAGATGTATATCAGAACATGACTAAGAGGATACAGCCATGCTTGTTCTGTACCAAATGTAATGAGAAACCAATAGCTTTTAAGACATCTGACTCAAAACCCCAAATATGAACCTTATGATCATGGTGGAGCTGCAGAATATGAACCTTATGATCATGGTGGAGCTGCAGAATATGAACCTTATGATCATGGTGGAGCTGCAGAATATGAACCTTATGATCATGGTGGAGCTGCAGAATATGAACCTTATGATCATGGTGGAGCTGCAGAATATGAACCTTATGATCATGGTGGAGCTGCAGAATATGAACCTTATGATCATGGTGGAGCTGCAGAATATGAACCTTATGATCATGGTGGAGCTGCAGAATATGAACCTTATGATCATGGTGGAGCTGCAGAATATGAGTCTTGAAATCTGAAATGTAGCTAACATTTCTGCATTTCTCCTTTATCTCAAAGTCAATGATTATATATACTGTATATTTTGTATTGAGGGTTGGTTGTATGCCTGAAACAACGTATTTTCTTGAACGATTTACGACATGAATTAGGTCATTAAATTCCAGTGGCGAGCCGTCAGGGCCCTCTAGGCCCTCTGTGAGGGCCTAAGATATTCTAAAAAATAATATTTCAAAACATTTAAAAAAATATATATATTTTTTAAATATTATTTTTGTTATATTTTTCATTAGTTTTACCGAAAAAAAACTTGATTTAATTGTATTTAAAATAACATTTCCAAAGAAATAAATCCTTCGAATCTGCCTGTTCAGTCTCTGTTGAATGTGAAGGGTTACATGAAAGAAGCTCGTCTGGCCCTCTCTGGATTCACAGAGGGTTGCTATAGTAACTGAACGAGAGAGTAATGTCAAATGACAGTACAATTGACCAATCATATCTTCCCTCTAAATGGGTGGGTTTTATTATCGCGGACTTTATGACAAGTTCCGCCCGCTGTGAAACTTTTCTTGTTTCCATAGCAACAACAACTTCCTGTCAACAGCGTGAACTCGCCTTCAAAATAAAAGCATGCCAAATTACACTTAAGACATACAACTGCAACGAAAGTAACAAACACAATGCAATATCATTTTCAATGTCAAAGAACACAAATTGGGTTCACAGGTGTTGTTTTGTGTGGTAGAGGGTCGCTGTCATTGATGCGTTTTGCACCCTGGGCCGTTGTTTTGATATTCCGCTGAAGTATACGCTGTGACGTAATAACTATTTTTTTCTTCTTTTTTTCGAGGGAAGGGGTGGGGGTCAGAGGGCCTAGGTATAAAGCTCACGGCTCGCCACTGTTAAATTCCCTTACTCAGGAATGTTTAGGCTTTACAGGTTTTAAAAAAGGTGCTTGCTCACACACGGCTAAATGAGACTTTAGACGTTGTTGGCCATCCAAAGCAAAAATGCTTCTGATACAGCATCAAACAACTTGAATCAACAAATAACAAACGTCATTACCCGCAAAAACGTTCCATTTAAGCAAAAATAGCTTAATTCTTTAACAGCTCTTTAAGGCCCCGGCTCCACGGGAACGCATACGGCAAAACGCATAGGAGTAACGCAAACGCAAACGCCAAAAAGCTTCCGTCCACACGCAATATACACCGGATTGTGTCAAGCTCCACGAGACGGCTCCGTTTACATCCAAATGCTGGAAAAGCTGCAGTACATATGCCGAACCTGTACGTGGCGCTGTAACTTCCTCCACAAAAGCAGCAACTTCCTCCACAAAAGCAGCGAAGAAGAATGGTTGTCATGGCTGCCCTTCTGTTTATTCTCCTTGGTGGGGGCGAGGGAACCGGGCAGAGTTTTTCGCCGGTCAGCGTGTGTTAAAGTTTAAATCTTCCGGACAAAATGATAAAAGTGCCGGTCAAAGGTCTTCATTGTTATTTATTGAGCTTTAAAACAAATGAATAACGACGATATAATGATATATAATAATAAAATACACGGAGCCTCTCTTTGTCCTCTCTTCTGACAGCGTCAGTGTCTGTCTCATGCAGCAGCTGATCCAGTAATGAGTGACCCGACAGTGAAAATAAACATATTTATAACTAGTTTAGGTAGTTTGAGAGGTAATTAAAATAGCTAAGGGCAGGGGCGGACAGGGACTACAAATCAGCCCGGGACTCTCGACCGGCCCACTTCGGTACGGCCAGCCCACCTCGGTACTGCAAGTAAATTGTCAACGGGTGGGGGGTGCTAGTGACTTATCCGACCGGCCCACCACTTCAGTACCGGCCCATCGGAATTCGTCCCGAACATCCCGATGGCCAGTCCACCCCTGGCTAAGGGTGATGATCTGACTTGAAGTGTGTGTCCCGCTGCATCACAGCGGGAGGAGCTGCGTGTCTCCGTCCTGTCAGATTAGACTTCACTCGCGTTTATGTCCATATCGAGATAAAGATAAATAATCTGAATTCAGTGTGCAGTGTACTTTTGCGGGGGTGAGCAGCAGAGGTGGGGAGAGGCGGGGCTATTTCGTCGTCATTATCAGAAACGGATGACCGTATAGGCGACCACACAGCCCCGTTGGACCCCCCAGAGCGCTCCGTTCCCAGATCTATCCACCTTTGGACCCGTTGTCGTTTGCAGGGTCCGTTTCGGCGTCATGTAGCTTAAAGGGCTATACGCAAGAGAAATATGCGGATACAACCCGTTTTCGTTCCCGTGGAGCCTAGGCCTAAGGCAGACTCAAGCAGGATTCATGCAGGTTTTACAGACTGCTCAACCACACCCTTAAGAACCATAATAATGAAGAAGGACAGCACTTACAGTAAAGATCAACATGAGAAAAGCAGAGAGAGTACAGACGGGGTCGTTCCAGTGACACCTGAAAGTAAACAGCTGGGCACGTGTGAACTGAGCCCAAGAAAACCATCTGACCTGCTGTGAACACACGCCGACCTCACCATCTGCTCGTGTGCGGAGATTACTCACTGGGTGTGAGAAACAAGAGGATCCTTGAATTGGATTTTTTTAAAAAGGAGAGAAAAACTGATAAAGAAATATAAAACAAAACCACAGAATAAATGGCATTTTCAATGAGCGACAAAATAGACAAACATAACCAGGTACGTTGTTGTAAAGTCACCATTGAAGTGTTTGTAATGTAGTTAAAATTCGATGACCATTTTAGTTTTTCACTTCATACAGCATGACATGACATGATGAGCCGTTTTGTTTAAAGCATGTTTTGTGTGTGTGAGGACCCCAGGACCCAATGCTCATGCTAGTGCTAATGGGGAGAAGAAGAAAGAATGAATAATAGAACTGGGAACAAACTAACGGTAACATTTTTGTTTGATTTACAGAGGGTACAGAATAGGTATTGAGGAGAGAGAAAAGAGGACGATAAATGGTGAAACAAAACGTTGATGCTTTTCCATTGGAGCACAGAAAAAAGTTACGGCCAGCTCCATTTGATTTGTATCGTCACCCAGCACCCAGGTTGGAGCTTCCTGTCACCAGCTTCCATTAGAAATGACGTGTAGCGTGTTGCTTTGTCGCTACTAGTGTGAACAAGTGTAATAGAGGAGGGTACGTTCATGAATCAAAGCCTTCGAACACCTCGACAAGAAAGTGCTGAGCCAAAAGTGTCCAACTGACCAACAAGCCACATCCTGGCTGATTTGTGCGTCTACACCAAACACTGAATCACCGTGGAAACCACCATCTGTGGCCCGAACACTCAGGAGCACTCAGGAGCCCTGCAGGACTCACAGCCAAATAACATTTACAACAAAGGAAACAACTTCTGTCACCATTTCACTTTTCTTTCTACACACAGCTCAAAAATC